AATTAGAACAATAAAAGATATATAATTGGTTGTTGATACACAATGGGGTGTGCCCTACGAATAATGAATGGCTAGACAGAGGGGAATACTTAATCCTTGTTGGACAGGCACTATTCTTGTTGACATATTTACTGTTCACTTGGAAGGAGATTGTGATATCACAATAGATGAGTTTTGTATTGGGGCTAAACCTAAAGCTAGTATTTATCTAAAATCTATAAATCTATTAAACTATGCAGACGTAACTTTTGACTTATTAAATAGTATGTCTGGGAGATGGGTTCTTGTTACCTTAAGCTAGTATTTATCTACAGCTATAAATCTATTAAACTATGCAGACGTAACTTTTGACTTATTAAATAGTATGTCTGGGAGATGGGTTCTTGTTACCTTAAGCTAGTATTTATCTACAGCTATAAATCTATTAAACTATGCAGACGTAACTTTTGACTTATTAAATAGTATGTCTGGGAGATGGGTTCCCGTTACCTTAGGCTTGCATATATCTGGAAGCTATAACTGAAACTATTAATATTTGTATCTGCATTTTCCCTGAATCCTTATATATATTACTTGCTGTTTTATAATTATATAGATATTTATTTAAAAGTTACACCATGATTACTTATAAAAGCACTTGCTGTGGATCTAATTATTATATGAAAACTTAGTATATATGTTACATCATGAAAACGTATAAAAGCACTTGCTGTAGATCTAATTATCATATGAAAAGTTTGAATAAATGTTACATAACGATAACTCATAAAAGCACTTGCTATAGATTTAATTATAAAATCAAAACTTAGTATAAATGTTACATTATGATAGTGACAGAACAACGTCCACTATAGCCACAACATTGGAGATGAGGATCATGTGTGGAAAAGATGGCTGAATTATCACAAAATTGGCATTTCTGGGTGTCCATGATAACACAAAAGCTGATTTAAAAAACTTGAAAAAACAAACAAACTTATTCTCTTCAAAACTAAAAAAAAGTCACCGCACAATGGTGACACAAAGAGAACAAGAGTTTGCCACTAACATGGCTTTATACCCCGCCCCTGTTGCAGAATTTATGACATAATTAAATCTAAACAAACCCTAACCTTTTTTAACCGAGGTGGAACTTCTTGTCATGGAAATTGTAAACAAGAGTCATCAGAAAGATGACATATCCCCCTGGCAGCTGTCTGTAAAGTACCCAGACCGCCTCCGTGGTCTAGTGGTAGAGTGTCCGCCCGGGGTTCAATCCCCGACCGCGTCATACCAAAAGACGTTAAAAGATGGTACTTGTTGTTACCCTGTCTGGCGCTCGGCATTAAGGGGCTAAAACAAGGACTGGTTGGCTCGGAGTCAGTATACTGTGTCTGAGTGGGGTATTCATGTTAAACTGCGGCATGGTATCTCAGTGAGCTAGCACTATAAATCGGCATCAGTCCGGACTAGTAGAAGCAGCCACACAAACGTACATGCACGTCGCTATATAAGTGCAATAATCTTGGACACGACGTTAAACCGCATTTCACCACACCAACTTCACCTGTAAAGTACCCACAAGTAAATGTGCAATTCTGAATGTAATGAGTCAAGAGTTGAATGTTCTTGAAGAAGCATACATTGTTTACCCACAAGAGATCCACCATGGTCACATCCATATGAAATGGAAAGTAAAACAAGTGTGTTTCTGTGGGGTTTTTTTTATGCAAACAAATGACAAATTACAAGAAACAATAACTAAACAAGAGAATAGTCAACAAAGTCATCTATATGCCCCGCCCATTTTAACACGTTATGGTCCCAAACCAGGTAACTGACCCAACATTTCTCTTAGCCCATGTCAAAATAGCTGCAATGGAAATTCTAAAATAAACATTTCTAAAACTCCTGAATATCAAATGGCACGAGTTCAGTATGTGCTTTATATATAGACATGCAATGTTTGGCAAGGAAATATTTAACAGTTTATTTGTTATATATACGCCATAAGTGAATCCGCCCTATATTAAAACTTAAATCCAACTTGTTGCCATGGAAACGTAAAAAATATAAATTTATACAATTCCTGAATAGCAAAAGGCACCAGTTCAGTATGTGCCTGGTAGACATGCAAAGTTTTGTAAGAAAGTATTAAACAGTTTTTGAGTCACGCTCCGGAAACGAACACCACCCTTATAGAACCTAAGTTCAACTTGTTGCCATGTAAACGTAAAAAATAAAAATTTCTAAAATTCCTAAATAGCAAAAGGCACCAGTTCAGCATGAGTCTGATAGACATGCAAAGTTTTGTTAGAAGGTTTTGAATGGGTTTTGAGTTATGCTCCGGAAACGAACTCTACCCTATAGAACCTTAGTCCAAGGTGTTGCCATGGAAACGTAAAAAAAAAGAAGTAACAAACTTCCTAAATAGCAAAAGGCACCAGTTCACCACTTATGTGATATAAATGCAAAGTTTGATGAAGAAATGTTAAACGGTTTTCGAGTTCTGCTCCGGGAACTATTCAGACAGACAGACCGACGGACATGCCCATAGCTATATATTATTCATAGCATTATATGCCGGGGGGATAAAAAAAGAAGAGTTTGCCACTAACATGGCCATGCAAGTCTCCTGCCCAGCAAATGAAGTGTATATTATGTCAACAATAGTGAAATTTGATCACACAAACACATACATTTGAAAATATTCAAAATTTTGTAAGGTGTAAAAGGCAGCAGGGGAGCATCTATTTGATGTAAATGCTAAATATCCTGAAGAAACAAAATAAAATGCTGCAAAACACAATTTCTATGAAGTTCAAGAAAAAACCTTCTCCACAAAAAACATGAAGGAAGTACAAACTGACAAAACCAGTTACTACACTTACTACTGAATTCATTAATGTGGGAGAAAGAAAAAACATTACAAGTCATGTTACCGGCACTCACTGCGAGGAAGTAGGCACTGTGAGGAACGAAAGTTACCCTCAACCATTATTAGGGCACATACTGACAACTTGGTAGAAGGCATGCACAGTTTCCCCTACTATGGGAGATACCTCAAACACAAAATGTAAGCACACAAAACAACTTTATTATGACTTTTAAGATTCCTTTAACAGGTTAAATGGGTATCAAGTTGATTTTCTTGGCATTTAAAAGAAGAAATCATTAATTTCTAAAAGTTTAACTTGTTGCCATGGATAAAAAAATTAAAAAAATTCTAAAATTTCTAAATAGTAAAAGGCACCAGTTGAGCATATGTACCTGACAGACCTGCACAGTTTCATGAAAAAATATTGAATGGTTTATGAGTTATGCTCCGGAAACGAACCCTAGCCTCACAGAACCTAAGTCCATCTTGTTGCCATGGAAACGTAAAAAATAAAATTTTCTAACATTTCTAAATAGCAAAAGGCACCAGTTCATCATGTACCTGACAGCCCTGCAAAGTTTCAGGAAAACATTTTGAACGGGTTATGAGTTATGCTTCAGAAACGAACCCTACCCTCACAGAACCTGAGTCCATCTTGTTGCCATGGAAAAGTAAAAAAACAAAATTTCTAAAATTTATTAATAGCAAAAGGCACCAGTTCAGCAATTGCCTGACAGACATGCAAAGTTTGATGAAAAAATATATAACGGTTTCTGAGTTATGCTCCGGAAACGAAACGTGACAAACGGACGTACGGACGGAGCCCATTTCTATAACCCCAGCCAACTTTGTTGGCGGGGGATAATGAGTAAGTTTGAGAGGCCATGTGATCACATTGAGTGGGAAGCAAAACCATTGTTGAAGATGGTAGCCATGGAGACGGCTGGGATGTGTTAGGGTGCGCTGTTTTTTTAAGCTGGAAACATGTGTAAGGATCGTTTCCACACAGTGTGAGATCAGATAAGTTTTAAAAACAAAAAGGTTTTTTTATCCAAAACAGGCTTCCCCAGGAGATATCACTTGAGTGAGATCAGGCGCTAACTCCAAGGAAATATTGCTAAACTGAAATTGCAGCACATAGGTTACCATGACATCACAATCATAGGACATCACCAATCCCTCTGCCACTGAAGCAGGTAGCTGTACTTTTTACACTCAAGGCACTGGTACTAAAAAAGCAAGTGGTCTATTTGACATGTCTATTCATGAAATAAAACATACATAATACAGCTTGGTAATATCGGGATCGCCCTTCCTTTTTTCCACATCATATAATAATCGACTAATGGAGGTCACTTTTCGCTCAGGTCTATCGCCAATCATTATCTTAACTATACACGATAATCCTACAATAGGCAGAATGATTTTGAATGATGAATAGAATCTCACTTTTGCGTCTTCCAAGCTAAAAATTATCAAGACTCGTTCATAAAAGTAAAAATATATATTTCATCTAAGAAGACACTTGAGTAGGATTCTTTGTTTTTTGGCTTCTAAAATGAGTACATGTACAAGATACAAGTATTACCATTGTACTATCTGAAGACATTTAAGAATTGACTTCCACTTTGTACGAATGTTCGAGCTTGCTATGGTTTCATGAAAAACAAGTCAAATTGTGTTGTTCATACACTTATGAACGTCAACTTTGTGGCTATGTGACCAACTTCGTGTCCAATGGAAAAGCTGTACATCGTCTAAACTTCACATTAAAAAATTATTCCCAAATGTGCATAAATTCACTGAGTGGAAACTCTTGTAAACCATTATAATAAACCATAAGACATATTTGGAAACTATGATAGTTTACTTATTACTATTATAGTTTACAAATTTGGAAATACTTTTGAAAATCATCATCACTGCTGACTTAGTACTACCTAATATATATATAATATCAGAAACCCAGCAAGTGTACATCTCTGTTGACTGCACATCATGTCCTCATGAATTTAACGCTCTCTGTCTGACCAGAACCACATTTCCCAACTGTTTATCGTTTTAAGTATGACCTAGTCCAATTGGTTTCTCTAACAAATTTGTGAACATATATCCGGTGACCGATCTAGTCAGTTCCACTCACCTGCACCTGCACCTGACGTTGCCTTTTCTTCTGCCACAATACAGTGAAACAACTTTTCTTCACCAAAGCCATCTCTCTTCAAAGCTGAGAATACATATAGGGGAAATATAGTAAGGCTCCATCTAAACGCAGAAATCTTTGTTACATTAAATCTTTCTCTAAAGTCATAATGATTGGTCATCTAAGGAACATACCTTGCACTTTGATATCAAGCAATGTCAAGCAAAGTGAGTGAGTGAGTGAGTGAGTTGGGGTTTAACATTAGTTCAGATACATCATGGTGCATCATCTAAATGTGTGACAAAAGCCAACAGTTATGCTGGTATTTGATGTTTCCCATCTTTGCTGACCAACCAAGAATCAACCTAGAGCGAATCCTAGGACTCAGCAAATATATAACTCCCTAGATGAGTGGGCCAGCCATGCCATCAAGTGCGCATGAACTCACAGTAGTATCAGTAATGAGTTACAAGCAAGTAGTCAATAGCTTACACTGTAAACAAAGACAACCACAAAACAATAATAAGTACAATATTTCTTAACCTGCAAGAAGGAAAATAATCTTGTTGTAAAATAATCATTGTTTACGCTATTTGTGAACAACGTATTGGATAAGAATCCAGATAACATGAAATTTTCTCAAATTGTGTCCTCAAACAGAATAATGGACCAACTAAGTTGGTCATTGAAATCGGGTGATATGGAAGTGGGTCAGGACTTCAAAAAATACAGAGAGTTTTGCATGAAGGCAATGCGCTGTGTATGAGATGGCACACTTTGAACTGCGACAAATGCCTTACATGAAACATGACAAGAGTGCTCTGAGAGCACAACATCCCCCGCATGAATTTTTTTAACAAGTTTATATTTTCTTTGTATTTTATGAAATAACAACAGTAGATGGCACTGCATTTGAAACAAATTGTGCAGAACATTTTGTTGGGAGTAATCCAGTCTGAATGCTAATGCCATAAGGATGTAGCTCACCCACAAAAGCCTTATGTGGCAGGCTCAAGTCCTTATGTACATAACTTTTAGTTAAGATTTATTAGTAGGTAGTAAGGTTATATGGCCTTGTTACCATTTTAACTGATTAGTTTATTACAATATTTACATTATAAGAATATATTATTAGTTATAATATTAGTTATGTTTGATACCTTAGTATTTTATACCTTAAACATTCATTCCATAGCTCTGTAACATTAAGTAAGCTTACTCTCAGTCTAACTTCCACTAATTGTCACACTGCATGCTTTTAACTTATAGCACTCTTTGCCCCAGCGCGCCTGGCCCAGTCTATTGTCTTGTTGATAGGCCAAGCTGGCCATAGCTACAGCAATGTTTTGTTGTTGAATTTTACAAAATCAGTTGCCATTGTCACCTCAAGGAAAGACTCAGCGAGATTTATTGCCGCATTCATTTCTTATGTGAGGTTTTGGATCTGTGAAGGGATTTATTCATACTTAAGGTTAGTTGATTATTTATTTTATGATGTTGTATATATGGATGTTTTCTAATTATTGCGATTAGAAATAATATATATTGTAGAATGCATTCTTAATTTGATTTATTAGAAACATAATGCATCTTGTATATATTTATAGTTCTTGATGAACTCACAGTACAGAGAGTTATTATTATCTGTATAAGACAGTATTAAACACGAAACCTAAATATATATATAAACTAAGTATTATAAACCCCTCCGTACAGTAATGGAAAGTAAATGTATGTCTGTATGCTTGATGTATGTTGGTAAGTGCAGGTGTATAGGTGTTGTGTGTCTGAAATGAGTGGCTGTTGTACTATATATTTTTATACACTAATTTACCATAGGATATCACTTGTATATTGTATTCTGCATTTGTATTTCTTTATTATGCAGATTTCCCAGTGGCAACGTTCACCATACAATCATTGTTACGGTTTTACCAGTTCAGGTTTCACCTATCTGGTATGTAAGGTTCACTATCACTTTATTATCATATTAATATATTTTGTTTCTGTGTATTGATGTATTGTACGGATACAGCTGATGTATTGTGTAATGTAAAGTAAATGCTATTCATTTAATGGAAGTGATATCTATATTTTAGAAATTTAAAGAGTAACTATAACAGATTGTATATATTTATTTCTATGTTACATTTGCTTATGTTGTACTTTCATTGTTTCAGGCTGAATTAAGTACGTACATTCGTACCTAACAATAAAACAAACGTCATCAGCCTCACCCCCCACAGCTGTTTGTGATTATTTGGCCAGTTGATCACCTACTGCACTATCGGCCAACACAACCACGGCTACAAGGAAACTAACTATAGTTATAGTTAAAGTTAGATATTGTGATATTCTCTGGAAACTGTAGGAGGAGTAGATTTCATGAAGCTCCGTAAAACAGGGGCAGTAACTCTGTCAAAATTTGTCGAAATGAAACGGGACTGCGATATGCGTATCATCAACATGTCGACATCTTGTGTGTAGAGTTTCAGGGATATTCTCTGGAAACTGTAGGAGGAGTTGATTTCACAAGCTAAGTACCCTCTCTCACAATAAGGCAAATGAAGCTCCGTAAAACAGGGGCAGTAACTCTGTCAAAATTTGTCAAAATGAAACGGGACTGCGATATGCGTATCATCAACATGTCAACATCTTGTGTGTAGAGTTTCAGGGATATTCTCTGGAAACTGTAGGAGGAGTTGATTTCACAAGCTAAGTACCCTCTCTCACAATAAGGCAAATGAAGCTCCGTAAAACAGGGGCAGTAACTCTGTCAAAATTTGTCGAAATGAAACGGGACTGCGATATGCGTATCGTCAACATCTTGTGTGTAGAGTTTCAGGGATATTCTCTGGAAACTGTAGGAGGAGTTGATTTCACAAGCTAAGTACCCTCTCTCACAATAAGGCAAATGAAGCTCCGTAAAACAGGGGCAGTAACTCTGTCAAAATTTGTCGAAATGAAACGGGACTGCGATATGCGTATCATCAACATGTCAACATCTTGTGTGTAGAGTTTCAGGGATATTCTCTGGAAACTGTAGGAGGAGTTGATTTCACAAGCTAAGTACCCTCTTTCACAATAAGGCAAATGAAGCTCCGTAAAACAGGGGCAGTAACTCTGTCAAAATTTGTCGAAATGAAACGGGACTGCGATATGCGTATCATCAACATGTCAACATCTTGTGTGTAGAGTTTCAGGGATATTCTCTGGAAACTGTAGGAGAAGTTGATTTCACAAGCTTAGTACCCTCTGTGGGACAGACAGACAGACTGCGCCACGACATAATCCCCCTTCGGCCATTCTGGCCCGGCAGGGGATAAAAACTGGCGGAATATCATGTTTTCAGTTTGAGGGGAAGCAAGTAACTCGTTGCAGCAGTGATTTAACTAATATTATGGGCATTTTCGGAAAGAGCAAGTGAAAAGCAACAACAGGACAGAAATATAAAACATTTCAAATGTCTACAATATTAAACAACAGCAGAGACCAAATACCGAGAGACAGGCCTCAGTAGTAGATTATCATTAACGCTCACTGCTGCACCCAGGAGTGTAATTGATGCATTGGGGCATCCTGCTGCTTTCCTACTGGCAGCAGTCAAAATGCACAACATATGCGCAGATGCTCTTATCAGAGGACTTCTGGAGTCAAGTAAACACTCATGCAATGCTTGAATGCTGAGAGTTAATTCCTTTTGCTTCCCCTCAAGCGCACATGCTGACATTACACTGATATTTCAGTATCAGGCTAAGCGCAGTCAAAAACTACATTGTATCCCTTTCGGGAACAAACAGAAGATTGATAACAAACTTGTTCAATTGCACAATAAAAATGTGAAAATTGCAATAAGACATCACAAGACATGATAACTTATTTTTAAAATTTATTTCCTGTTCTGTGCGGCATTGTTTTCTATGCAGAGATTAAGATTATATTATTATTATTGCCAGAAATAGCAATCAGCTGTACACACATTTTCTCCTGGATCTACCAGTTAATAATATAACTTGAAGGTATTTTGATGCAATGATCAGAAGAGTGTATCTGAAACAATTATTTTTCCACCATATTATATTCCAATATCTGGTTACTTTAGTTGTAACTTTTTAAATTTATAATGTAAATTATTAATAATATCCATAAGCGTAGCACTTCAATTTACAGCTGAAATTTGTGTAGGTATGGAACAGTTTGTTGGGTCACTGTTAGATACTTCCCACATTTCTTCAAATCTCCAACAGTTGCAGTTGAAAGTGCTACTTGGTGCCAACTAGCCCCGAGGCCCTGTCTTTGGTATATGGTCTCTGACAATAGTTATTGTTAATGATTCCAAGAATACTACCTCTATGACATCAGTAGCAGACATCCTGTCTTTTGGCTGTCAACACACTATAAAATCATTACATTTTAAAAAGATGACCCCTTCATTGTCAACTATTCACAAACAGTTGAGATACTAATACCATCTCCCTTCCTAAACCTCTGCCCATGTGCTGCCAGGAAGTCTGAACTTCTTTTCAACAGCATCATCCTAGATGCAGAATATTGGGGAGATGAGTGCGATTACTCTTGATTTTACAGAGATAGTATTTTTCAGTTGTTCACTATGATAACTATTGTTTGATAATTCTTACAAATACAAAACCTCTATTACATCCATGCCAGAATATACCTGCTGGATCCGTGGGTTCTGACATCAAGTGAGTGAGTGAGTTTGGTTTAACGCCGCTTTTAACAGTATTCCAGTTATATCACAGCGTGTCAGCTTAATGTGGGAGGAAAGCCCGATGTGATGCAGGTCTCAGATGTTTACCACGAGCATGGGTATGGTGCTGACAAACCTAGAAACATAATCGGGGCGAACCGGGATTCGAACCTTCAATCATAGGTTTCTGGCGTGCCCAAGGGACGCAACTCTGCACAGCGAATCGCAACGCCTTAGACAACTGGGCCACCCGTGCCCCCTTTGACATCAAGAAATACCCTTGATAGTTAACAGTCTACTCCATGATTCCTACCAAAATTGTGTCTTTTCCCTAAATTCAGCATTTTTGTGTTACCTAATTGTTCAAACAAGC